ATTTTATTAAGCTCTAGTTATTAAAAATAATAATTCAATAATCTTGTAAAGAAAAAAAAATAACGATATATTTATTATTCATAATTTTATTCGTAAAGTTTGAAAGTGTAGCATTAGAATGTAGATTTAAATTTTTATGTTAAATCATGCTTGTGAGACAACAGTAGTTTGAAAAATAGTTTTTTTTGTAAGTTAACTATAGAAGTGGGCGATTTTGTGTTGTGATTCAGTGCTTGTTTAACTGTATTGTATATTGAGAGAGAAATCTGTTTGTGATATATAGAATAGTTTGTATTTTAATGTTGTAGAATGATGAATAAAATTTGACAAAATATCGCTTTAAATCAAATTATTTTTGTATAAAATCATTATTTTATATCAAACTAGAGCAATTGCAAGGAAAAAAAACAAAAGACTTAAGAAACAAACACTATTTACTTGCATATGTTTAGTGATAGTGAGAGTGGAATAATAAGTGCAAAAAACAAAATACCTTTGGCACTAAATTATTTCAGAGTGGGAGAGAGATAGGAACTGTAAACAAAAGACTTAGGAAACAAACTTTGTTAATAAAACCACCTGTATGAGATTGAATGAGAAGGAGGGAGAAAGTGAACAGAATATATGAATTAATTACTTTAAGGAGAATTTTTCTGTTTTATCTTAAACTGTATAAAGAAAATACAGAACAATTGTGCTTTTGGTTATTATTTAGTTAAAAGAAAACAAAGAAAATTTTTATATTTTTTTATAATTTTTAAGAACATTTCAAAATTATGACTTTGTTTTTGCATTTAGTGGTAATAAGAGTGAAGGAGACAAAAACTGAAGACTTAAAACACAAACTTGTTTAAGAAATAGTGTTGTGTGAAAAAGAGAAAGAGAGAGAGAGAGGGAGAGACTGAGATAGCGACAGTAATAACAAATTAAAGAATTTAATTATATTTGGAATATGAATTCAAAAAAATATAGTTAATAAACAAAACAATAGCATAATTGATTAAAACAAAAGACTTAAGATACAAACTTGGTTTATTAATACTCTTGTGTGAAGCAGAAAAAGCAAGGGAGAGAAACATTAATGACACATTTTAATAGAATTAGGGGAAAAATACAAAAAAACAAATAAAAAGAATCGGAACTGAGAAACCACATATACTTCTCTAAAAGATTGAACTGTGCTGAAGCCCAATCTGGCTGTGGAATTTCACTTCCGTCTTTAAGTTTAATGTTAACAGATTTCGAAGTGTGATAGAGATAAGATACTAGAAAGTTTTATATTAAATACAACCCATCGGAATTTCAGATTTTACATATAAGATCTCAATTTTCGCCGAAATTGGGTTTCTATTATCTTTAGACTTCAAGCTTTTGTTGAAGATATCTCAAGGAATCTTCACATAACAAAGGTTAAACATTATCAAATATAGCAAAAAACACTCTGTTTCCCAATCTATAAAAGAAATACTTTTAGTCCACCATCGGGCATGCTGTGTTCTCCTTTACTAGGCTCTCTGCTCAGAAATGAATCCACATCCTATGATCTAACATACTAGAACACTAAGCTACCACGAGGAGAAATTCTATATTGATATTTGAAAGGAAAAGCTTATTTAAACAAAAGACTTAAGACACAAACATTCCCGGCTAGATTTCGCATAGTAAGTCACAACATTTTGAAAACGAAGAAAAACTTAAGGATAAAGTGTTTTGTTTAGAACAAAAACAAATTTTCAAAAATTTAGTTGAAGAAAATTATAGTAAAACAAAAGACTTAAGACACAAACAGGCTAGATCTGGAATATAAATTCCAGAAATCGGGGAAAATGAAAAGTAGTTTTTCGATAAAATTAGTTATTTGAAACAAAATCAAGTTAATTTTACAAATTTTACAAAAACAAAAGACTTAAGACACAAACTTATTGCAAATTTCGTTGAAGAAACCTTCGTTAAAACAAAAGACTTAAGCCACAAACTTGCTGGTTATATATTGAATCAAAATTCGAGTAATTTTAAAAACGAAGAGGAATTTAAGAACAAAGTGGCTCATTAAACAAGTAAAAGCAATTAAATTTTACGTATTTTGTTAAAAAAAAAAACTTTACTTAAACAAATTTTGAAAACGATGATTGGTTTAAGGACAAAGTGTCTTGTTAAAAAGAAAATAACAAGAAACTTTTATTAAATTTTGTTTAAGAAAATCTTACTAAAACAAAAGACTTAAGGCACAAACTTGCTTTCAAAACTTTGATTAATTCAGGAAATTGGGAAAATTATGAATTATTCAAAGATAAAAATCTTATTTGAAAGATAATCAAGTTTATTATTCAAATTTAATTGAAGAAAACTTTACTAAAACAAAAGACTTAAAACACAAACTGGCTAGATCTTGAATATAAACTCCAGAAATCGGGGAAAGTGAGAAGTAGTTTTTAGATAAAAATGGATATTTGAAACAAAATCAAGTTATTTTTGCAGATTTCGTTGAAGTAACCTTCATTAAAACAAAAGACTTAAGCCACAAACTTGCTATATTTTGAATACAAATTCGAGTAAAAAACGAAGAAAAATATAAGGACAAAGTGACTTATTAAAAACAAGTAAAAGCAATTAAATTTTACTAATTTTGTTAAAAAACAATTTCACTTATACAAAAGATTTAAGACACAAACCTGCTAACTAGAGTCATTTAAAAAACGATAATTGGTTTAAGGACAAAGTTAAAGACCTGGTAAAAAGAAAATAACAAGTAAATTTTATTGAATTTTGTTTAAGGAAATCCAAATAAAACAAAAGACTTAAGACACAAACCTGATAACTAGAATTTGGATTGGAAATTCGAGTCATTTTGAAGGACAAAGTGTCTTGTTAAAAACAAAAAAACTAAGTAAATTTTATTTAATTTTATTTAAGAAAATCATAATAAGCGAAAGACTTAAGACACAAACTTGCTTTCAAAAATATGATTAATTCAGGAAATAGGGAAAATAAAGAATTATTTAAAGATAAAGAGACTTATTAGAAAGATAAACAAGTTAATTTTACAAATATAGTTAAAGTAAACTTGACTTAAACACAAAAGACTTATGCCACAAACTTGTTGCCAAAATTTTGATTAAAAATTTCAGAAATTGGAAAAATGAAAACTTGTTTAAAGATAAAGTGACTTATTTGAAAAAAAATCAATTTAATTTTACATATTTAGTAGAAGAAAATATTAGTTAAACAAAAGACTCAAGACATGAACTTCCTTAGCGCTTTTTAAATAGAAATTCGAGCAATTTTGAAATCAAAGATTAATTTAAGGAAAAAGAGCCTTAAAAATAATAAAAACAAGAGAATTGTATAAAAGAACAATCAAGAAAATGTTATAAATTAAATTAAAAAATATTTTCTTAAACAAAAGACTTAAAACACAAGCTTGTCGGTACGTTTTTTGAATAAAAATTCATGAAATAGGCAAAGTGAAAAATTATTTGAAGATAGAGTGACTTATTTGATAGAACATCAAGTTAATGTTACAAATTTAGTTGAAGAAATCATTTATTAAACAGAAGACTTAAGGGAAATTGGAATAATTTAGAAATTTAAGAAGTAATTTGAAGGTAAAGTGATTTGTTTTAAGCAACAAAAAGAAAACAAGTAAAATTTACAAATTTAGAAGTAGAAAACTTTAGTGAAACAAAAGACTTAAGACACAAACTTTCTTGCTAGATTCTTAATAGTTAATCTAAAAATTTAGAAACTTAAGAATAATCTTAAGACAAAATAAACTGTTTTAAATGAAATATAAGTAAATTTTACAAATTTAGTTAAAAAAAACAAATTTCTTTAAAAAAAGTAAAACAAAAGACTTAAGACACAAACTTTAAGTTGGCTTTTATATAGAAATGTAATAATTTGGCTAAATGTAAAATGATTTAAAGATATAGTGACTTATTTGAGAGAATAACAAGTTAAGTTTAGCAATTTAGTCTAATAAAACTTTACTAAAACAAACAGGCTTAATGAGTTTTGCATAGAAATTCTTGCTGTTTTTGAAAATATTCTTTGTTTTCAATTTAATTTAAGGACAAAGTGACAAAAACCAAATACTTTTTTACAAACTTTACTCAAGAAGACTTTAATCAAACAAAAGACTTAAGACACAAACTTGTTTAATAGATTTTTATAATAAATTGCAGCAATTTTTTAGAATATCAATGTTTAACCCCCATTTTCAGTTATCGTTCAATCGTTAGTTATTCTTCCAGTTAAGAAAATTTTTGTATAAGAACAGTCAATATAACTTAAAGTTAAAAAATAACTAGACATGGCGAAAATGGGGGTAAACTAAGAAAGAAGAGTAAATTTTACAAATTTTGTATAAGAAAACTTTCATAAAACAAAAGACTTAAGACACAATCTCGCTTTAAGAAATTTAGAAAACGAAAAGCAATTTAAAGAGAAGTCTGAAGGGAAAATAAAAATAAACATTTCAAAGTCAAATCAAAGACTCCAAGTCCTTTAAAATAAAGTGGCAAATGACAATTCAAGGCAAAACAAAAGACTTAAGAAACAAGTTATGTAAAGAGATGATTGTAGGGTTACGAGCGAATAGTAAAAGCAAAAAATCTTTAAAAAGTGGAAAATATTAGGATAAAAGGTAGAAATTAAGAAATTAAGAAAATTTCAAACAAAACAAAAGACTTAAGAAACAAGTTCAGTTATGTAAAGAGACGATTGTAGGGTTATGAGCGTATAGTACAAGCGGAAAAACTTTAAAAAGTGGAAAATGTTAGAACAAAAGATAGAAATTAGAAAATTAAAAACAAAGCTAAAGGCACATAGAATAAACTTTAAAAAACAAAAAGGAAAATTAGTCTTATTTGGAGCTAAAACCAAAGACTTAAGACACAAGTGCTGCAAAGAAAATTGATAATTTGTTCGAAGCGGCAAAAACCTGAAATTTTTTAGAAGAATTTTTGTAATAAAAACACATTTTTTTCAATTAAATTTTCATAAACATTTTATATTTTTTTTCAAAATTTTTTTTTTTTTTTTTTGTTTTCTTGTAAAAGAAAACTTGTTTCATGTTATTTTTTGTTTTTCAAATAATCTACAATTCATTGGTATTTTCAATTTTTAATAAATATATACAATATTAAAATAAAAAATAATAAAAATTTGTTTAAAAAAATAATACAATTGTTGCAATCAAAATCATTATATACAATTTTTTCTAGCCATAGGCTGGTCAACATGGGGTTTTCAATTAAAAACTAAAAAACTTATAAAGTAATAAAAAAAAGCATGCATAAAAGTAAAAAAATATAAATTATATACAATAATTTTCTGGGGGGGAATATAAACAATTAGATTAATAACTAAATAGAGTAAAAAATTTAAAAAAATAAACATTCAACTAACTACAACTTATAAAACTAATATTTGGAATTTCAATTTAAAAAATTTATGAGGTAAAGGCGGCTGTTGAAAAAATCTAACAGCGGCTCTTTACTATTATATACAATTTTAGACTTGAAATTTTTTTGTGTGTGTGTGTTTGGCTTAAAAACTAATAATAATAATAAAAATTAATAATAATATAAAATTTGCATTGACTATAAAGGGATGGATGGTTTAAGTTACTGTTTCTTACGTGTTGTGTGTTGAGCGGTGGTTTTGGTAGTTTGCTTAGAGTAGGAGGCTGCAGTTAAACACAAACTATACCTCTTTGAGCATGATGAGAACCGAAGGCAGCATAGTTGGCTTCAGCTAATTTTTGCCTTTTATTAGCCTCTGAATCGGAAGAGTTTTCCGAGTTTTCATTAGAACTTTCCATTTGATAGAATTTGCGGCGCATATTTTGTTGTCTTTCTTCCTCTGAGGAGGAGGTTTCACTTAACATATCACTATCACTGTGCACTGATGATCTAGAGGTTTTCATGCTCAAATCCATGGGACAATCTTGATTCATGGGCTCTTCATAGTTGGAGGAGGGTGCAGAGGTTTCGTGTGTTATAGAGCAGACTGATACGGGTGAAAGGGATTGCATTTTAATGGCAAATGTGGTTTCAGCTGAGGTATGTTGCACTGGTGAGGCTCTTACAGCAAGGGGACTATGAACTTGATGATGATGTGTTTGAGCCAAAGAGGAGACAGGTGAGATGGAGTGTTGTGAGATTAAAGATTTATGTTCTTGTTCATCATCATCACCGGAAACACATAATTCGGGAGATTGTCTATTGGAGGCGGGTTGTTGGTTAAGTGACATATGTTGCATGTGTTGCATGTGCTCAACATCATGAGTTAATGAGTGTACTGAATGATTGGTGGGTGAGAAACGTGATTGAGATTCCCCGGAGGCTGCAGAGTCTACCGATTGTCTGTGTTTGTACATTTCCGAGCGATAGGCAGCATCAGCAGCGG